ACCATCATCAACATCTTCCCTAAATACTGACCTGGGCACCCATTTATTTCTAAACTGAGTGAGAAGATGAGCCTTCTGGGCCTCTGGTCCACACACGATCCACCTGGCCTGACCTGTGTATAGGTCCTACACTGGGGATAGATAGCGCAGACACTTTTCTATTTCTGTCTATGAAGCTATTCCTGCCTCTCAAACCACAGCACTCAACATGTAAGGCTGGTGAACGCTCAGTGCTCACTCCATTAACTCCCCTAGGCAAAACACTTAACCAGTGGTCACTCCCCCCCCCCCCCCCCCCCCAGTAAACTCCTTTTCCCTCTAAGCCTCCCAGCTATTCCTAACACAAACCAGAAGAGTAATTCTGGTCAGTACAGTAAAGGGAAAGGCCAGGGTCACCAGAAGGCTCAGCTCTAACAGCTCTTTGCATGTGCACGGGGCCATTATCCAGAGATGACATCATGCTTTGCCCTCCGAGGCCTCTCATGGAGAGGAGCCAAACAGGTCTGGCTGGGATGACAGCGGCTACTCAGGCCCTTCTGGCCACCTGTAAGCCATGGGCAACATGCCATGTCTTCGGAGACGAAAGATGTAAATGCTTCTTGGTGCCCAGTGGATTTGAAACTTCAAAAATCAACCACTGATAGTCACTAAAGGCCCACATTAGGTAAGACACCGCTTGGGGACATAAGAAAGGGCCTTAAAGGTGGACACAACCGATGAGACTTCCAGGTAACCCTGCCTAGACTGTATTTTCTTATCAACTTTGGCCTCCTTATGACCACATCAACCTTATGGTAGAGGAGAGAGTCAAACAGCTTTCTGTTTACTTTTTCTCAGAAGCCACAGAGGTTCCACCCCTCCCAGGCCTTGCTGGGCTTGCAGGAAGCCTGAGAGTGATGGAGTTTGTGTGGGGAAACAGACAGAAGAGCTGTTTAGTAAGATAAAAGTCCTTTGCTGGGGGTAGCTTCTGGGCCCAGTGGCAACAAGACAACAGTGCAAAGAGCTCAATGCCACCACATTGCTAGATGGCCTTATTCAATCTTTTGCAGAGGATGGTACAAATACTAAAAAATGAGTATCTTCCCCTTTCCCTCCTGCCTCCATGTATATCCATGTGTGTATGTACATGCAGTTTCCTCAATGGCTTTGTTTTTTTTTTCTTTCATTAAAACTGGAGCTCACTGATTGGCTAAACTGGCTGGCCAGCAAGCTCCCAGAGGCCCCCAGGATCTTTGCTGTCCAGCTCCAGCACTGGGATTACAGGCACACAATGCTACACCTGGCTTTTTATGTGGGTTCTGGACAGGGGTCTTCATGCTTGCTAAACAGGCACGTTAGCCACTGTGCCATCTCCCCAGCCCTCCTCTTCTTTTCTTTCTTCTTTGAGACAGAGTCTCACTACTTAGCCATGGCTCCCCAGGAACTCAATATGTAGACCAGTCTGGCCTTGAAATCACAGAGATACATCTGCCTCTTCTTCCTGGGTGCTGCGATTAAAGTCTGGTGCTTCCATGCCTGGCCAGTCTATACATTTCTCTCTCTCGCTCTCTCTTTTTGCCTTTCCGAGACAGGGTTTCTCTGTGTAGCCTTGGTGTTCTGGACTCACCCTGTAGACCATGCTGGCCTTGAATTCACAGAAACCCACATGCCTCTGCCTCCCGAGTGCTGGGATCAAAGGTGTGCGCCTCCACTGCCTGACTGCCATTCTATATTTCTAGTAATTTTTTTTCTTGACAGAGTAGTTAAGGTCTATGATTTTTTTTAAGGCCACGCCAGTCCAAAGAAAGCTGAAGGGATGGCTAGTTACCTCAGATAGACAGAACACTTGCAAGGGATTATCAGTTCTACTGAGACCCTGAACATTCATGCCCACCCTGTGGATGGTCCTGGACAGACAGACTGACACTAAGTGTACTAGTCGAGGACACAGTGTAAAAGACCCTCTGTCTGTGGACATTGATCAGGGATGGCTCTCTGGAAGGTGAGTCGGCAGAAGCTGAGGCCACTGCTTCAGTGGGGAAAAATGGGGCTAGGGTGGCTCAGGCCTCCCCCTCCCTGCTTCTTTCTGGGTCCAGATGCTGACCCTGGAAAGTGGAGACAACTAAGGTAACGAGTTCACAGTTCCTCGAGCTCCCTAAAACCCAGAAAGTGATAGAACTTCCTTTTCCACCCCTGGTACCCTGCTGAGCCTCCAATTCAGGTAGCTAAAAGGAAAGCAGGGGTGAAAAGGGTTCTCCCCAAATCTCTCATCTCTAAGTACAGTTTGTATCTCTCTAACTCTCTGCCAAGGGATTTCCCAGTTCCCCAGGGCCAACGCTCCACTCCTGCCGCTCTGCTGATTGTCACTGGACGTGAGCCATTTTCCACCCTCAAGGTGGACTCAGGAGTAGTGACACTGCTGACCTGGGCTCTGTGCCCTGCCCACATGATCCGCCAGGGGATGGGTCTGTCAGTCAGCAAGCTCCAGGAGCCTCCCATCGGCTTCCTGCTCCCTAGTCCTCGCCCTTGGGCTGGAATGAGGGTGATCTTTGGCAGAGGACTTTTCAACAAGGTCTGCTCAGGACTTCCTCTGCAACGGGGCCGGGGAACAAATGGCCTGTTACCTACACCCCTGCCTGAGTGACTCACCTTCCAGAGAAAGTACTCCCCTCACCTAAACAACGCTTGAAAAAAAATGACTAAGGCGCCTATCAAATGCAGGCTGTGGAGTTGGCCAGTGACTGAGCACGGTCCAGACGCTCTGCCTTCACCTCCAGCCTTGAAGTCAAGTGCCACCCGGGGCCTGCTGCTTTCATTTTCATCTGAGCAGGCTCCTCACGAGGCTTGACATCCGGTGATTTATTTTTTCTAAAAACTAGGTTCGCTTTAGAAATGACTCTTCGCCTATCAAGACAGCTTCCCCAAGAGAAAACAAATGCTATTTAGAAAGAAAGTCAGTGTGGTGGGAGCCAGTATTTATGCTCTGTATTAAGGGGCAGAAAGGAATTTACCCCCCAGGCCCAGCCCCTTGATACCTGAAGCAGAACCCACAAGTCCCTGACTGCAGACCCGGGGCTCTCAGACCTGGTTATGGAGGTGCGACAGCTTAAAGGAGAAAGGGGGAAGAGGTGGGGTGCCATGTGCTGATGGAAACCATACCCCCAAAGAACCAAATGTTACCTCCTTTACCCCCAAACAAAGAACAAGTCCTCGGTGGGTTATATTCTGTGAGAAATCTCTTTCTCTCCCCAGGTTAATGCTGGGACCCCCTTACCCACATGGAGGACATAGGGAGGTCCGAGACAGGTCCCGTTGGTTGTGTTTGGATCAGCCCTGGGAGGTCCTACAGGTGACCCCTATGTAGGGCTGCAAACTCTGACCAGACAGAGCCTAGGTCTTCTTGGGCTTAGCTGAAGTGCAGTGGGGGCAGGATGTAGAGCAAGCCTGGGGGAACCAGGGGCTAGAGAGATGGCTCAGTGAGAAGATATGTTTGCAGCCCAGTCTGAAGACCTGAGTTTGCTCTCTGGAACCCACGGGGTGGAAGGAGAGAAGAGACTCTTCACATGTGTGCTGGGGGACACATGTGTGCACACACAAGGAGTAAAGACTGGAAAAACTTGACAGCTAACCTCTCCAAGGCGAGGGAAGCAGTCCTTGGAGGGCCTGCTGAGAAAACAAAACAAAACAAAACAAAACAAAAAAAAAACAAAAAAAAAACCGACTGACCTGTCAGGCACTCTAACTGACACTACCTTACAGAAGACAGGTCTAGCCACAATGCAGTAATCGGCCTCGCCGCCACCACTGCTGCTACTGCCAGAACTACAAGGCAGAGAACAACAGTTTCAGCCACTGTGCTTGGCCCCACGAAACATTCCTGACCCCATCTGCAGACAAGGCACTCCATGTTCACAGAAGTGATTTGCTTGAGGGCACACAGACAGCCTCAAGCAAACCAGGCCCTAACCCAGGTCTGTCTGACAACATAAACGGCCACAGTGGGTGTGGTGGCACTACTGACCTGTCACCTGACCCTTCCGCTTTAGTTTCTACACCTGGAAAAGGAGCACAGGCACGCTGGTTCAGATGGTAGGCTTTTAATAGCAACCAGAACCGACAATCACTAAAGTAGAGACATGGATTAAGAATCGTTATGATAAGTGGATAGTTAGAGCTGCTTCCCTGGTTTAGCTGGAGTCAAAACTGACTTTGGTGGGGAGAGCGCCTTAGCATTCTCGAGCAAGTGAGAATACTATAAAACAATGAAGCAAATGTCAATAAAAGTCAGTGTAGATTCTAAGCATGACACCAAATTCCTAAGGATTACTGTCTGTCTTATTTGGTCCTCATTTTAAAGATCTTTGCCTCTCTATACCATAAGAAAGTAGAAAAGCTGTCTACAAAATTATTCCCTATGCCCATAATTCCAAAGGATTTCTGCCAGGGAACTCAAGAGGAAATACTCTAACACAGCAAGAGGGAAAGGGGGACGTCAATTTAAATGTAAATACAAGAGCACAGGGGCCTTGGGGAGAGCTTCCTTCATGCTGTCACTCAGGCAGGGAGAGAAGCTCAGGGCTCAGGACCCTGCTCAGAAATGCAGAAATCCTCTCCTCCACGGCCTGCCTTCCACCTGGTCCTCTCCTGCCCTCAGCCTTGCAGCCAGTGTCACCAAGTAAACGGAGTGCTTGCACTTGAAACTTTCGCCCTCCCCGAGATGACGCTCAACCCGTTCCTTTCCCTTATTCGGGATCCTGGTGTGCAGAGAGAGGAGGGCTGATTTATCTTTACAACTCCCCAAGTCCACTCTCCAAACCGCCCCACCGGCTCCTTGCTGGTACCACCAGACATGCCCAGAGTGCTCAGATGCCTCCAGTTTAACTGAAATACTAAAATGGGGCAAACAGGAAGCATCAGACGCAACTGCGGTAGTGACTTATTAATCACGAAAGCAGAATTTTACTTGCATTTTAACCTTTTGCCAGGAAAAAAAAAAAAAAAAGCATCAAGCTGATGGGAGCCATCGGTGGAAAGGCCTCTGCATGTGCAGCAAGCTGACCTTTTTTTTGCTTGGGCTGAATTTGGTTTTCAGTTTTCTTCTTTCTCCTCACAAAAACAAAACAAAACAAAACAAAACATCTGTCAAGCCAGCCAGGATGAACCTGTGAGTTCGGGCAGAAGCACCTGTGAGAAGTCTGTGTGCTGTCCACTGAGACAGGAAAAAAAAAAAAAAAAGAAAAGAAAAGAAAGAAAATTAAAAGTGACTTCACAGGCCAAAGTGATAACACAAAACTCTCAAGAGGGGGAAAACTAGCCTACACAAACAAACCTGGATTTAAGCTTTTATCTCCTCTACACCCTCCAATCTCCTACCAGCCCCTTAGCTAAGGGTGAACCCTGTCTACTCACACAGCTGCCAAGGGCTGGACAACCAATCAGGGTGAGCCCTGTCCTCTCATACACAAACACTCCAAGCAGATCACAAAGGAATCAGTGTTCACCAGGAGAAGCAAAATGAGGAACCACGCTTCTGTCTGCCAAGGCTGAACGGCAAAACCAGGCATTTTTGCTTAACAGAGGAAGGTTCATCTGGCATGGTCTCCTTCTGTGGTGCCACTCCCACAAACGCTGACAGACACCAGAGGAAATGGATAAATAACAAAAAATAAAAAAATAAAAATAAAAAATTTAAAAACCTTCAGAACTGCTCCTTCTACCCAGAAACAATCAGAATGACCTAAAGCCTGATCACTTAGTACCATTTGATTTCACAAACTGCTGGTATATGTTTCTGGGTATGTACAGTTGGGTACTTATTTCTAAAATTAAAGTCAGACATATTATTATGAGATATTCTGAGAAATTTATCACACTCTTCCAAATAAATCAGGATGTCTTCTTCTTTCTTTCTTTCTTTCTTTTTTTTTTTTTTTTTTTTTTTTTTTTTTTTTTTTTTTTTTTTTTTTCCCTTTCCGGTGTTCTGAGACAGGATCTTGCTATGAAGCCCCAACTGGTTTCAAAGTCACAGCAATCTCTTATCTTAGCCTCCCAAGTGATGGGATTACAGGTATGTGCCTACCAGGTCTAGTTTTCAAGATGTTTTAAAAGGCGTTTGAAAAACTCAAAAACTGGCATCGATCCAAAGGAATTGCCTCTGACATCACTTTAAATACAAGAGGAAATCCACATGTACCACTAAGCAAGTCAGGAACCTTCACAGAACCCTTTCACTTTAAGAGCAAAAATAGTATCACCCCAAACCTTCCCCCTCCCTTATCACAGTTACCTTAATACAGTCCTAATTCAGATTTCTGGAGAACTTACCCTCACTCATGGCTCGGAGGCCTCAGAGAAGATGTCACCCCCCCCCCCCCCCCCACACCTGGTTCAGGTACTCCACCTATCAACTGGACAGCATTCTGTCCATCTTACCACACCTATCACTAACCAGGGACACCACTACGAAAAAACCTGCATCACCAATGTTAGGACACTATCCTCTAATCTTTCCGGAGGACTTAAGTTTCTAGCTACAGTGCCAGTGTTCCAAAGTTCACTGGTCTTGGCGCCACCCTCATCACTAGTTTCATTCACTTTTAGGGCCTGTAATCCTGTCACTAGTGTCCATTGTCTCCAATCAACAACAACAAAAAATTGTCATTAATACACTGATTTTTGAAACTCATCCTCTTCTTTACAACCCATGCAAGCACCCCCCGCCCCATCCATCCTTATACCTGAGAGCCATCTTTTAATCTCAATTTAGGAAAGAAAAAAAAAAAAAAGGACTTTGTCTGAAGTTAATAAACACGATGAGGCTCCAAAGCAGGTGGAAATCTCTGCCTCGGACAAACGTTTCATTTTACTTGGTGACAGGTGGCTGCAAGTTGCCAGCGCCGGGATGAGCTTCCAGGATGGGACTGGCACACATAAACAGACACCAAGAGTCCCGAGTAGAACTCGGAATTACACACAAGGGTCAAGATCATCGAGGAGGGAGGATAACTTTCAGCGACTAGCACCGTCCTGCTGAGTGCCAAGGCCAGTCTCCGCTCCACTCTCCGAACAAGTGACCCCCGAAGCACTTGGCAGGGAAAAGCGGCGCGTTTCACGGCTGGGGCGGTCGGGCAGGGGGGAGGCTGGACTCGATGGCACGGATGCTGGGGAAGGGACAGCAGGGAGTACCCGCGCGCGTTCGGGGCAAGCGTGTGACCCGCGGGTGCGCGGCCTGGAGGCTTCGGAGGAGCAAGGCGTTGCAAGCGTGGCGCTGGTGGCGCGGCGCGTGCGAGCGAGTTAGACCGCAGACACCCTGCCGTCCATCCCAGCCAGCCCTCGCGGACGGCCAGGCTGCAGGCTGGCCCCGGCCTGGGAGGCGCCCCTCTCCCGCCCGCTCCCTCAGCGCCCCACTTGAGGTATCGAGGTTCTGCCCATTCACCTACCGGCGGAGCGCCGCTGTCCTCTACCAAGCGAGTGTGGCGCTTCGCTGGCCAGCGATCGCTCGGGGCCCCAACTGCCCCTCCCTGACCACGCCCCCTGCCTAGCCCCGCCCCGGACCACGCCTCCCCCCGTGGCTGCGACTTTTGCGAGCTTCCCCGCCTCCTTTCTTTGGCCGCCCCGCGACCCTTGATCCCGCCCATTCCTGCTAATTAACCAATAAGACGTCTAGTCCCGACCGGCCTGCCGTCCGCTTCCCAGCAGCGATTGGCTAGCGAGACCTCCCAAAATGGCCACTGCTTCCGGCCAGGGTTTCTAGAGGCGGCGGCTGGGTGGATGGGCGGGCGGTAGGCGGAGGAGACGAGGGTGTTGGTGGAACCACACATGCGCTCTCAACTTCTGGCAAAACCTTTTTACGGGTTGCATTCTTTTTGAGGTTACGGGAAGGAAGGGCGGCTGTACGCATGCGTGGGCATTCCCAGCTTCGGCTGTGGTTACCGTGGACACGGCGAGGCGCTCTCTCTCTCTCTCTCTCTCTCTCTCTCTCTCTCTCTCTCCTTTCTGCTTGAGGGCGTGGCTGCTTCGTGGGAGCCTTCGTGGTGGGGCGAGAAACACTTTTATGGAGCGCTTATTGTGTGCCTCGTGCTGTAAAGTCTGTGAAGATGAGGTTACAGTGCCTGCCCTCGACATGCGTGGGGAGCCAAAGGCTTACATAGGACAGGCCGGGTGTTGAAACTCCAGTCTTAGGGAGCGTGCAGATGGCGTGGTCCAACCCTCTTCCCCCCCTGGAGAAGCTACCCCTGGCGTGTGTGTGTGTGTGCCGCGCACAGTCCATCCTAAACTGCAGAGCCAGGAAGACCTGATCTTTTGTGCCCTTTTTATGGGGGAGGGAGGGAGTGTAGAGAAAGTATGGCTTTTTTAGGTTTTCTACTGTACCACAAGCTTTACTGATAACAAGAACTTACAATTATATACATTCTTGAAGGTTTCCAGAATGAAAGACGCGCGGTGACGGTAGGGACTTCGCTAGGAATCTTAACTGAGAGTGCAGGGACTGGCTGTATTAGTGGGAGTAGGTAGGTAGTCGTATCCTTGACTGGTTTGAGAAGTAAGCATCCTGTCTGGAAAGGTTTGAACCAGGGCCAGGCCACTGTCTGCTTGTGACCACTTTGCAGACCTGGCTTCCTACTGGAGACTTGTTTAAGCAGACATCTGTTGCTAGACATCAAGAAAGGCCATTCATTTAGACAACGTGGAAATCCCACAACCTGGCGCGCACTCAGGAGGTTGAGGCAGGAGGATGACAAGTTTGAGGCCAGTCTGGGCTGCATAGCCAGACTTCTGTGTGAAAACAAAACAAAATAGCCTGCAACAGAGAGGCTCACCCACTCCCCTGGGCCAGAAATATGTTAGAGCAAAGCCGGTGGTTGCTCATAGCCCTAGCCCATGTCATCTTAATGTCAACCATGTCAAGTGTTAGACCCAGGAGTATTTCTGGCTGTGACTCTCACAGAGCCTATACTTAAGAGTCAGACTCTGGGATATATCTTGGCTCTGCCAGTGGCTAGTTGAGAGATGGTAAAGCAAGAAAAAAAAAATGGACTGGGGGCTTCTGAGAAGCTCCTTCCATTCCTGGGGTTTGGTGTTTCAGTGACTCAGAGAGAGGCAGAGCTGGGCCAGATGTACAGGTTGGTATCAGGTCCTGGGTGTCTGTCTTTTCCCTCCCACCACCTGTTTGCCTCTGGGCAAAGCACTTCTCAGGAAAGACGTGGGCAACAGGCCCAGATTCTGCAGATTCTCCCTGCAGGGCTGGCTCATTTTTGCCGTCTTCCTCTCACCCTTCCTTTTTTTTCTTTCTTTTTTTAGGACAACTAGCGTTTCTGTGCTTACTAGCTTTCCTGATAGCATTTCTGGTCCTGGTTCCCTTATGTGTATTGCCTATTCCGCCAATGTGATTGGTCTTTAAGCCTACACGCAATAGGGCATATTAGTGAGAAGTAAACTCTGTATTGACTCAGAGCTCTGCAGAAGGTCCACTTGCAGGTGTGTGTGTGTGTGTGTGTGTGTGTAACAGCCACTAGACTCATTAGCAAGGGAAGCATCAGAGAAAAGCAGGGCTACTTTTCTCCTATCTGATTCCACAGGGTGTGAGGTGAGAAGCAAACACCCCTCCCCTCTCCCCCAGGTAGGACTGGGTGTCTCTGAATCTTGAAATACCCACCCCGTAGGAGAGCTTCAGGGCCGAATTGACTTCCTCCTGGTCTAAGTCATGACAGTCTGGGCAGGCTTCTAGCCCTGAGTCACTTGTGCAACTTCAGCTCAGCCTTAAATAAAATAATTGACATTTACAGGGTGACTCATCCCTCGGGCAGTGCTGGGCTCCCAGGGTTGGCTCTCAAGGGGTTTCACATCCCGTCTGTTTCAGGTTTGGAAACAGGAGGGGAAGGCTGCGCCAATCTGAAAGAACGGCAGGGTCTGTTTTGTTTTGAGAGCTGAAGATCAAAATCCAGGGCTTTGCATATCATAGGGAGATAATTGGCCATGTATTCCTGGTCCTCTCTCCCTCTCTCTCTAAGGTCTCTGTAGACTATAGTTCCCTATTTAGCCCAGGCTGTGTTCAAACTTCTTCGTATTTTCACCTCTCCAGTACTGGGATTACAGCCACATACTGTTCCCAGCCCAGCCTCTGTTTTATTTTTGTTGTTGTTTTGTTTACATGTCTCTTTTTAAAGATTAATTCTTAAAGTTATCATGCAAAGGCATGGATAACATCGAAGCATCTTCCGGGCACGCGCCATTATCCTTTGCTCCCATTCTTCTGGCTTTTAAGAGATTAAGAACATAAACCAGCTACATATAGTGACACACGGCTGTAATCCCAGCACCTGAGAGGTGGAAGCAGGAGGATCAGGGGCTCAATGCCATCTTCACCTACAGAGCAAGTTTGAGGCCAGCCTGGGCTAGGTAAGACCCTGTCTCCAACCAATCAACAAACAAAAGAATGTAAGCGAGACGCTAAGTGTTGTGTGCATAGCCTCAATCTTGACCTTTTGTGTTGGATAGTTCACTGTCACTGATTGGGCAGCCCTGGCACTGTAGGATGTTGAAGAACATTCCTGACAGAGTCTGCTAGGTTAGGAAGACATCCTCCTATACCCTGTGTAACGACAAAAAAAAAAAAAAAGTCTCTGGGGTATTGCAGAACATCCCCAGGAGAGGCAGTTGCCCTTACCCGAAAACCTCTGTAGTGTTACTGTCCTCATCTCATGGAAGAGCAAATTGAAGCCTGGAAAAGAGGTGACTTTCCCAGGGTCACTTTGCAGAAGTCAAAGAACACAGCACTGCACACCCCCTGCCGGCAGGGCTCCACAGAGACTTCGGGGTTCAAGGATCCAGGTACCCCCATCAGTCCTGTGGAGCCGGGTGCAGTGGTGAGACAATGCTGTCTTGGGTCATTCGTCCTCTTCTGCTTGCCCTGGAGAACGGAAGTTGTCTTCTGGCCTTAGCACATGTGCAGTACGAGGCCATGTCTAGTAAGAGGGTGTTGGGTGAACGAGGTGAGTGCCTGTGGATCTTGAGGCCACCTTCCTGTGCCATCTTGAGTTCAGGCGAGGGCTGGTGTGAGAGAGGACCTAGGCCTAGGGGCAGACATTCCTGGAGGGGAAGGTATGCTTCCTCCTGCTAGGGGCCTGTCTGAGCTGCAGCCATGATGTTATAGCTGGTCCCCAGTTCGGACCTGCCCCAGACATCTGGGTGGGGGATGGAGGAGCTGTAGCAGAAAGCCACCTGCAGTGGTCTTTTTAAAAAATTCTATTTTATTTGGGGTGTTTAGGCCTCTGCTTCCCTTCCACCAGCCCCCCAACCTTAAGTAGGAGAGAAAAAAAGTTAGTGGGGAGAGGGGGCCCAGACCCTTTACTTCTCCTGGCTACTTAGGGTCAAGGGTTTTTTTTTTTAGGGCTCTATACCAATCTCCATCAACTGCAGACACGGCCGGCAGGCTCCTCCACCCTGCTGTGCCCCGCTCCAAACTGCCACACCATCTCTGGCCTCTGGCCTCTGGTCTCTCCAAACTGCTCCATGCCACGTGCCAACACCGAACGCCCCATGGTCTCTTTCTCTGTTCTCATATTTCTATTCTCATAGTCCGAGACCACGCCCCTCTCCGCGCCACACTTGGGATTCCACACTTGGGATTAAAACAAAAGCATATTGACATAACATACAAAGAAACCAAAACTTCCATTACAGGAAACAGTAGAAGAAACATACATAGATACGGGGATGGCTGTGACCTCTTGTTGGCAGCTTGAAGTGGGACTATTTGCACCACAGAAACTGGCAAATAGCATAAACCCGAGCAGCGCCCATCCAATCTAGTTGTTAAACATTTCCCAGGACACTGCTGCAGGCTGCTGCTGGCCTCTGTTTGCTGGACCATCTTATCACATACTGCAGTTTATGATGTACAGAACTGGCAAGGGAGAGAAGGGTTAGGATGAGAGGGAGAAGAGCTTCGAGTCTTGGCAAAGGGTGGAGCTGTCTAAATGGGAGTCTCCAACAGGCATTAGACAAAGAGAACCTTACCAGGAACAAGCCTGGACATACCCATCTGAGACCCCCTCCCTGACTTTGGTGCCATCAGAGGGAGCCATAGTTTGACTTCTACTCTTCTCTTGATTGGGTTCCCCCTTCTAGCTCACCTCCCTACCTCCAGTTTCCATAGCATCTGAAGACGGGACTCAGTTGGTAGAATGCTTGCCTACTGGGCATGAAGCCCTGCGCTCGGAATGATGGCACGACCTGCAATCCCAGCGCTCAGAAAGTAGAGGCAAGAAGATCAAAGGTCAGGATCATCCTTGGCTATATGGGGAGTTCAAGGCCAGCCTGGGCTACATGCGATGCTGTCTCAAAAAAAAAAAAAAATTCTATACCATCCCTGACCCTTCTGATGGTTTTAATCCTCATGCGAGGCCACTTATGTCATCTTTTTCTACACCCAGTGCATCAGCTTCTCTTGCCATAAAACATCTTGCTCCTTTAGCATCTTCCTTT